AGAATAGTCACAACATCCCCCATATAGTTTATCTGGGGGTATTTGCAACCACACAGTGTATCCTTAAAATACAGACTGCTTTCTGATCAAAGTGATGCCCTGGTGTCCATTAGAGTGTGTGTACGGCATGGGAAAAATCATTGGATTCAGGCCAGTGGTTATTACTGACAATAAGCAGTTAATAAAATAATAATAAAGGAGGAAGTGGACACAGTTTAGTTTTACAGACTTTCAAAGCACAATAAAACGTTTTATTTAAAAACAATGCATTCAATATCTTGTTTTGGCACGAGTCAATGTTGCAGGCACATTCACACCGAACAGTAACATCGCTGAAAGATTCCGGATGAATCGTTGCGTTTTGCTCCACGCACTATGGTCACAACAGACACGCAGGATTCCTCTACACGGAGAGCCGGGCTCCTTGCAGCCGGGTTGCAGATGTGCCGCCACATCTGGCACGCACTGCGGAATTCCAGCCCCGATCCCGATGTCCCTGACGCCAGCGGCATGGGAGCTCTGCTTCCCACGGACGGGCTCGCACGTGTGGCTCCTCATGCCGTCACCGGAGACGGCATTCCGGCCCTCTGTGGACATTCACCATTAAAAATAAATAATACTTCTAGTCTGGCCATTAAAATAAGGAATCCTTTATTACAGTTATGGCGATTTTTTTCTTCCTTTTTTTTTAATATTTATCTTTTTTATTGAAAACAACTCCATCAGGCATTGAACTGTATAGCCATTAGAATAAAGACACATTCATCCCCAGGAAATCTGCTCTCTAAAAGATTTGCTTTTGCAGCCTCCATTCACAGTCCTTGTTTTTTGGTATACTCAACATTAAAACCGGTAGCCAAAGCCACGTATCCTGCTACCATTCACTGAAAAGATGCAAGCAACAAAAATACAGAAGACAGGAGTGAAAGCAGAGGAAGCAGCACACCTAGCTCCATTGCTATCTACACGGTTTACTTGGTATTTCTCTGCTCTACAACCCAATGCCCAACACAAAATGTGGCTCCCGGGTGCAGGCACCAGCTGTAGGGTGCTGTGCGGGGCTGCTCCTTGCGCAGTCCCCACGTGCACCCCTGGGCTCCTCTTGATTTTGTAAACGAAAATGTTTTGCACTTACACATATTGATCACACTGCATTACAGCATACTTTCATTTAGCTATATTTGTTTGTCTAGACATTCAGCAATAACAGCGAGTATTTTCCCTGAACCATCAAGAATTCATTTAGATGCACAGAGACAGGAAGATTTGGGAGCGAACAAAAGGGGAGGAAGGGTCTAGCCGGGAGGATGGCGAACGCGATGCTCCGTGCTGAGCACCGCGGGCTGCAGCTGGCCCCTTCCCGCGGCTGGAGCCGCCCTTCCCGACGGGAGATGCTGATTCAAAGCACCTCTGCTCCTCGTGCGTTTTCTCTTTGCACCCTTGGATCTTCAGCTCTCCATGAAACACAACCACAACCTGCCCCTGACGCTCGAAATGAAGCATCACTGCAAGTGGCAAAACCTAGAGCTCTGTTGACTGTCATCTCCAATTTGAGGGGTGCCAAGCAAAGGCGCTCGGTCCTGCTGGGGGTCCCCGCCACACCGGAGCGTGCACTTTGCCCCTGTTGAAAGGGAGAACTGCTTTCCACAAAAAATTAAATTACACATGCCGCAGATCAGGCACAACCTGGGAGGGACACTTGGCTCCGACCTGCAAGACCAAACATCTAGGGGGGATCTCACCAAGGCTCCGAGCTCGTCCCTTCCCCTCCGCCTCCCAACAGGAGCGGAATTCAAAGAGCCTCTAAAGAAACAGCAGGAACAGAAGACACATTTTGAAGACCATTTTCCACATTGCAACAACTTGGGCAAAAAAATATTGATACTCAGAAGCAATTTGCTTTGGGCTGTATTGCGCCATTGATTCTGAAGCAGAAGTCCCCATTGAACCCAGTGATTCTGAAATGCTCAATGCGGTTCTGCAAAGTCAATAGGGAGTCTTGCTTAAAAATCAATGCTGTAATATGGCCCTTTGTCAATAATTTTCCCGCATTCCCATTTCTGGATATTTGCAATCATTTCTGCGCTCCACGCCGAGCACCCTTAGCGCGTGGCGGAGCGGAGCGGCTGCGCGTGCAACGCGCTGTCCCACGCGGCCTTGCCGCCGACCCCGCTCCCGAAAAGCTGTGGGCAATTTTGTAACTTTCCTCTGAATAAGGAGAAAAACTTAAATTTTTAAAGATTAAGCAAAAGTAGGAAAAAGTACCCTGGGGCAATTTAAGTATTTGGCTTCTATTTCTAATTTTTGCTTTTTATCTTCTAACGTAGGTGCTCCAAGATGTTATTCTGAAAGGGAAATGTGCACCGTTCTGAAAAGGCTGATCTGGGACTTTCTGAGTGTCAGACTTTCTCCCTTTCTCCCTCCTTATGCAGACTCAGGGGAGGGGGCACGATTTTCCCCGGATTTTGCTAAGAATGGGGCCGTCCTGATGCAGATGGGCTTGTCCCTTGTTGCGCTGTGCAGCCCCACTGAGGAGCCTGGACGTCACCCAGGGGTTGTTCCCGTCCCCAAAAGTGCCTCTAGGTGCATGATCAGACATTTGTTTAGACTAACGGGTGCTCATTTGCCTTGGCATAAAAATTAAACTCGTTTTTATCATGTAAACACCATACAGCAGCCAAGCAGCATCCGCCTGGGCAATTTCTCAGCCTGGACGAGGGGCACGAGCGCAGCCTTAGCAAACACGCACCTACTGTACAGTTCAATACTAAATTACCTTGGAAATGATTAATTGATGCACTTCATTAATAGCTCGTGCAGAACCCCTTCTTGCCTTTATAATCCCTGCTTTTCTTTTGGAGTGGGGAGGGGAATAAAAATCCCCATGCACAGGCACCTGAGGAGAGGTTTCTCAAAGGACTTTGCCTACCTGCTGCCCCGCCAGCTCCTACCCTATCCCAGCAGCTTTGCCCACCTTTTGGGCTCTCCCCTGGGCTCCAGCATTCCCAGCTCTCGGGACAGCCGTCCTGGTCCCCCCCGAATCCAGCACGACTCAGTGCTGACCCCCGCCTGGGCCCTTGCATGCTGCGACAACACAAATAATAAATGGCAATATTAATAATAAATCGCAGGGCGCCATATGGCATCATACACTGCTATTACTACACAGCTATGTCTTAATAACAAAATTTGCCGGAAGTCATACTTTGCTGCATGAATAGTGATGAGAAGAGGCTTACTGCGATTGCAAGGAAAGGCGAGAGCTGGGACGCGGATGCAGCGGACGAGGAAGCAGCGACGAGTCGTCTACAGAGCGGATCTGCAGCGGCTCCGCGGGCCGGGCACGTCCGCGCTCTAAATACCCGCTTAAAAATAAAAGCCAGAACACGCCAGGTGATTGAAACAGGGCGAAAAGGGAGGGTTTTCTACATGGCTTTAAAATCCTTGGTATTTCCGGAATGAAGTCCCTTCTAGTTGCAATTGCCGTGGACGTGCTAAATTTGTCCCGTGGAGGATGCAGTCATTTTTTCCACCACCAGTGCTGGAATTGGGGCATTTTGGAGCTGTTGCAAGGTGAGACTGAGGGCACTAGGGATGATGAGCTCCGTGGCTGGGGGAATGGCTCAGGACTCATCCTAATGGGAACAGCTCACAGAGCTGTGGGCACCGGGAGATGCTCCGCATTGCTCGGGATTTTATGTCATACCGGGACCTCTTTCCTCGCTTTCTACACCTACTTTAAGAATCCTAAAAAAAATGAAAATGCATAATTTTGAAGTATGATTTTAAACGCACTTTTGCATCTTCTTTCAGTGTATAGTCAGGTGTCACTTAGTGTAATACAGAATTATATAAAAGAGTTAAAATACTTCTAAGTATAATTGTTTTAATAGGAAAAAAAAACAGTTATTTTATAGACTCCTTTATCCTGAGAAATATTGGCCAACATTTCCAAACTTTAAGTGACCCTAAAATTTGTCCTCTCAGTAAACAGTCTGATTTCCAAAGGTACTCGAAAACCTACATCTTCCTTCGACTGCAGTGAACGTTTCCTTGTGACCTGGAAATGAGGCCACAAATCCAGTGGCCTGAATGTGGTTTTGGAGATGTAAATGTGACAATCTGATGAGTGGCTGTATTTCTTGCTGCCTGCATCCCCGCTATGCTCACTTTGCTCCTCTTTACAAAGAGATATTTAAAAATACTGCTTTTGGCTTTGATGTTGCTCAGGTCACAGTTACTCCGCTCCCGCTAGGAGCAGCTGTATTCCCTAATGAAGGCGTCGGGTCCAGGATGGTCCCCTCGCCATACGGATAACGGCAGGACCACGGGACGGGCTGCGGGGTCCTCTGCAGCACCGAAAACAAGGCCGAAGGAAAAAGAAATCTAGTAATTCTTGTTTTGGTATTTTATATTTAAAACCAAAGGGCCAAACAGGATCCCCTAGACGTGAACGAAAAGGAATTCAGTTCGTCTGACTGCGATTCGGCCCAAGTTGAGTTAAAACACCGAAGTACTCTAAAAGTATTACAAACGCCTTGCTATGGTACAGGCCGTGCTCTGACCTTCGTGGTATTCCAAAAAAATGCAGAGTTCAGTAAATATGGAAACATGCAAGTGGTGGAGCGCAGGCTCCACGCTGCCCATTGCAGCTCGAGCGGCGCTTTGGATCGGCCGCGACGACCCACGCGTGCCGAGCCAGGCACAGCAACAAACACGGGAGAAGCGGAGCCGTTCGGGGCTAACGTCTCTAACCCTGACCCGAATGGAACAACAGAACTAGGAGATTTAGAGGCAGTTAGAGGAACACTAAAATATGAAAATATCTTAAAACATATTTAGAAGCGTATCTATAAATGCAAAATATTCCAAGTTTTCTGCTTCACAAGTAGCATCCACAGAACTTGATAAATGCGTCTGCACTGCTAAATATGCTCAAACCCTCTGAGGAGCAGTGATAAGAGTGATTAAAAAGCATATTTATCATATGGAAAATACTTTTTTTTTTTAAGGATTCTATCTGAAGAACGTTTAATTCTGTTTTGGGCACTTTTTAGACAATGGTTTGGCACTTGGAGCTTTAGGTTCTTAGGCACAATGCGACAAGGTGAGTTTGGCCAGTCCTTCACCGTGCATCCTGTAGAGCAGCTGGAACTCCGCGGGCAGCTGGTGGGACTCCTGCCACTTGGTGGTGAACTTGGTTCCCTTCTTGTCGTAGTAGTGGTACGGGAGGTCTTCCCTGGTGTTGGGATCGAAGCCGAAGGGCCAGAATCCGTATAGGTGGATCTCCTCGCATATTGCAGAAGCGAGGGTGTACATGAGAATACCTGTGCTCAGCCGCTTGGGTGACAAATGCTTGTTTTTCCAGTATCTGTGAAAATAATAAAGGCATCTTAAACTAGCATGGAAATAATACGCATGGGTTTACTGTAATAGGAAAAAAATTACTACGTGGATCCATCAGTACTAAGGGCTGATGATCTGAGTAGGGTAGGGATTGCTGCTTGGGTCAGTCTGGAATAAACAGGAGTGTTGAAGAGTCTTTCGGATATTCTGATCAATATTCCCCTTTGTGGCCCCCTTCAGAATGCATTTTTGCCTTAAAAACAAACAAACAAACAAATAAACCCCAGGAAAAGTAGTGCCTTACTGAAGAAAGTAAATGCATTGAACCCTGGTCACGCGTGTGTTTGCTAATGAGGTTGACAACATTATCCTAGTGTGATTTCATAGAATAATAGAATCGTAGAATCATTATGGTTGGAAAAGACCTTCAAGATCATCAAGTGCAATTGTAAACCTATCAGCATCCTGCCTGCTAAACCATGTCCCTAAGTGCCTCATCTACACGTTTCTTCAATGCTGCCTGGGACAGCGACTGCACCACTTCCATGGACAGCCTGTTCCAAGGCTTCCCCACTCCTTCTGTGCAGAAATTTTTCCCAATGTCAAACCTGAAGCTCCCTGGGACAACTTGAGGTCGTTTTCTCTTGTCCTGTCCGCAGTTATTTTGCAGAAAAGTTCTACAAAGATCTCAAAGATCCAAGAGATTTATGACAGTTTTATTTGGGCCAGTCTGCAGCTATGTCTGGTAGCCTCTCTATTTGCTAGTGGAGAAGATCATTTACAGAAGATGTCATGAAAAACTCTGGTGGGAGCATCATGCAAATTCTTCCATAAATGACGTCCTGCTTGTGCTAGATCTCTTGCAATTCCTTGGTGCTCCTTCTCTCTTTGTGGGAGCACCGACAGGAGCAGAGTCCAGGGGTGGGATCTACCCCTGTGTGAGCAACCAACCCAAGGCACAGTGGTTGCCTGAGATTGGTAAAAAAAATCACTGGAGCTTCACTTTCTGAAGCAATAACAATGCTACATTTGCACTAAAAGCCAAGAACACCAAGCTCTAACTTGCTAGAGAGTTCACATCATTTGGGCACAAATGGAAGAATAAATACAGTTGCCTTTACAGCCACGGTGATACATATTTTGATGAATTAAATGCAAGAGAAAATACACACCTGTTAACATGTTGCATTATATTTCCTGGCCAAGCCAGCTGGACCTTTAACTGCCCTCTATGCTCAACAAAGAAGTCAACCAGCGTTCTTGTGACTGTTGCTGACGTGTGGAAGAAAAAAGCGGGGATCCAAAGAATGGCCCCATCGAGCTTTTTTAAACTTAAGAAAAAGTTGTTGCGATCCTGAATGGTCAAAAGATTGTTGTAATACTTCTCCAGGATGCTGGGGTTGAAGGTGGTGAGATTGGTTTTCCTTCCAACATCTCTTTGGAAAGCCTCAGTTGGAGCAAAATTGCAACGAAAAACAAAATCAGATTTATCTATTTCTTGTCCGCACTGGCTCCCAGTTAGGATTCCACTATTCCCAACCACAGCGCAAATGTTGTAATGCTTGTTCATGATGGGCGACACATCTGGAAGCAGCGATCTGAAGTTATTACTAATAGAAAAAACATACTTATGGCTGGAATAATCATAGTGCATTAACTGTCCGATCCGAACACTGTTCTTTGTCAGAGAAAAATTTTTTATTACGTCAACATGCTGAAGAATTTCTTGCCTAAAATAAAATAGAAAAAGGAAAGAAAACATTTTATTATTTTTCCCCCTTCTCTATGGCAGAGACATTATCTTTCTGACTAGACCTAAAATGTTAAATGTTTTACAGCAGTTTCTGGGAAATGAGATGGAAACCAATAATAATGAATTGGGATCATGGAGCTGCTCCCTCGCCTAGTGCTCTGCCGGTGCTGCCGGACTGTCCTGACTGATGCCAGGTAAGGAAGGTGTCTCAGAAGAGTGTCAGGATTAAAATACTGGGTTATTTTTTGAAGTCTGAGACGTATAATTGTGGAGACTCCCAATACGGCCGTTTCCGTGGGACAGTGAAGATCAGATTTCTCTTTTTGCCATGATCCATGTGGCCGGTGGACCCGTGCTCTGCTGATGCTCTCTGCAGCCAGAGGCTCTTTGGTAGCGGTGGGCAGCGTGTCTGCCAACAGGCACTCAAAGAAAACCAAGCAGTCCAGAGTATTCAGTTGTGTTAACTGCAACGGAGCTGACTTTTAAATACAAGCATTTTGTATGCTCTCATTAAGAAGTTTTGGATCATAAAAAGGTGACCATCACTGTCTCCCTTTATGTAAACATAATTTCTTAATGTCTTACTTGGGCAAGCGCATGGGAATTTTTAAAAAGGTTATTAGGAATACTTAAAAACAAACCAACCAGCCCTGCTCAGGAATTTCCCTAGCAGGGCATAAAATTAGAAAACCAATACCACTTTATTTGCTCCTGTTTATGGAAAACAACCTTCCTTCCAGCTCACATCCTCCAACATCTAAGCATTAATGGAGTCCCAGTGGGTTCCCTAATTATGGGTTATGGCTAACAGACAAATGCAAAGGCAGACCTTGAGGCATTAGCTAATATCAACAGTGAAGTGACACTAAGATATTTATTAAGGGTTAGATGGTGATGCCAGGAACCAAGCGATGCTAACGGATGGCCACTGCCGCCTCTCCAAGTCCACATCGCAAGGAGGGATGACGATGGCAAAAGGAAAGTGCATTTGGCTTGGTATGAAGAACAGGGCAGCTCTGAAAGACCCCATGCCATTGCCACCACCAGCATGGTCAGCGCAATGTGCCCATAGCAGGCAGAAGGCAATACGTGAGGAGGGCATTTCAGCTGGGTCTGGCCTTGACGGTGCCCTCGGGGACTCTCTGCCCACTCTGCCAGCCACGGCGAGAGCTGGGAAGGCAGAGCTGCACTGCACAGGCTCAGAATTGCTATTAGCTGGGAAGTTTCATTGGGCATGTTTTGCCCTCCATTTCATGGCTGTTACAGTTTGATTTGTTTCAAGTTTCAAAAAAACAGCCATTTATCTTGAAGAAATGACAATTTCACTTGCACTCTGGGAAACTGGGTCACATGCCGTTTGGTAAAATAATGTGTGTTGCAGCTTGGTGTCCTACTCTGAAATAATCAATTCTTCTAAGATAGCTGTTTCCATCTTGGGAAATGCTCCGATTCAGCCTTTGTCTCTCACTGCTGGCAAATTACTCAGAGCTCAGTCTATTTAGTGGCCCTCGATTGTGTTTCCTTCAATCCTGGGGGGCAAGGGGCCCCCTTGGGGAAGGTGGGAAGGAAGGGCCGGCGCGGGCTCACCTCTGATGGGCGAACGCCGTCCTGTTGAAGGTCCACTTGGCAGGCTTCTCCTGCAGCTCGTGGCTCAGGGAGTTCGTGATGGGCACGAACGAGGGGTCCAGGAACTTCAGGGCGAACTGGGACCTGGGGAGCAGCGGGCACACACGGACACTCGCGGACCCACG